AAGTGTGGGTGGAACCCTTCCCATATCTTGGTTCGCGAAGCCCAGCCATGATCAGTGGTTAGGTATATTTAAATTAGCCTCACTTTCCTTGTAAATGAGCACTCATGCTCCTTACAGGTGTAGGGGGGCAAATTTTCTTTGGTTCAAGTCAGTGGTTGCGATCTTCCCCTGCTGCCTTTACCTTTGGCTGACTCAAAGTTGACAGGGGCCTCTGATTAGGAGTGATTTCTGATTAGGAGTGTTTCAACTAGTCACTCTTGTTGGTTCTGAACATCCTCAAGGACAAAACCCCTGGCTATCAGCACAAAGTACATACAAACTTCCAGTGCATATTTTTCTACTAATTAGTTCAAGGATTTTTCTACTTGAGGCTGTTACCTTCTTGGTTCAAGACATGACTATTTAAAAAATATAAATAATATGTCTGTCCATGCATGGGATTATTCTGTGAATTTTTTTCCTGACATTTTTGAGATTTTTGGATTTAAACTCTTATTTCAAACTGAACTCATTAAGAACGAAATACAGCAAAAAATTCTTAGCTCATGTGACTCAAAGAGCTAATAATTTATCTTTTTCTGTAGATGAAACGATAATGTAGTCAGGCTTTCTTGAGACTGCTCTTCACCTGCTGATATAGATAGAGCCCTGGCTGTCCCTTGGTAATGAGTTCATTCAGATGTGGATTCTTCGATGTCTTGCAGTACACACAGTCTATTCAACCTTGGTCCTGACATGGTCCCTTGGTACTGACATGGTCCCTCCTCCCCAGTCCTCACAGAACTTTGCAATCCACTACAATTTAAAATAACTTCATATCACAGTCAATTACAAAGCAAACTGGCATGTTAAAAATGTGTTTTATTAGTAATATTGAAATCTAAAAATCTGCTAATTAAACAGTTTCCTTCATTCCTTGGGTCTATGATGCTGCGCACAGCTTTACTGCTGTGAGAGGAGTTAATAATTTTCTTATCTGGAAACAGGCTAAAATACAATATCAGAAACAGTAGGCAGAGCATCTGAAACCAAATCTTGAAGACATTACTTTCAATTCAGTTAAGAAGCTTAAATGATAGATGCATAGTGCAGTCCTGTTAGGCGCAGCGAGCCCTCAAGTGTTCTTGAAAAAACAGAAGGAAACTCAGCAGCTGGAATGTTATAAAGCAGTAGTTTCTTGCTTAAACTGGATAATGCTTCAAACGTATACTTTATTGCCTCATGAGCAGTCCGTCTGAGGTTGATGAAGTTCAAGTTTTCTGCTGACTCAGCTACCTTTCTCTCTAAAGTAGTCTGCTATAATAACAGAAGAAAATAATAAATCAACAATTATAGAAATATTATACAGAATTGCTGTAATGGAGATGCTTTTTTTCAAGTTCAAATCCACCTCAGACTACACGGTACTCGAAAAAGATAGCTGTATTTCTAGCTCAAAATTAAAAATACTAATACCTATATTCATGAGGAATTATCTGTTTTAAAGATTAAACACTTCTGTTTTAAAGATTAAGCCCTTTAAATAATTTTTAGAAATCTCTCATAACATGCCAAGAAGAGCTACTTCATTTTCTTTTTGCAAAGAAACCATCCAGAAGAATTAGAGTAAACCTCAGAAAATACACATTGTCGAAACCGCTGCAAATCTGTCCCTCAAAACACTTAGACTTTACATTTTACACAGGAACAGTGGCCAGTTACGGACAATTTGACTATTTGCAAGACCAAATAATTTGCGTGTAAATTGTTACAGGATTTTGCAAGTGTTGACATTTTTCGCAGTTTCCCAAGTTTACACTTTCTGCCTTCGTCCCATGGCAGAAGCTAGTATCAACTGTGATACGGCTCCTGAATTTATTATGGAGCCAGTTGGACAGCTTTCAGGCTAAGTAACACAACGGCATCTTTTGGATCTGCTCAAGCTCCATCTGTAGTACTGCAGAAAAAGCCTGGGATAGAGCTAGTCTGAAGATAGCTTGAAATATAAGGCCTAATTCTTAGATTTAATAATTCTTCTAAGTACTGCCCTATATGGAAATGATCCCTTCAAAATACTCCCTACCTGGAAGGACCATTCTGCTTTGGTAGTATTTCATACCCATTTTGACCCAGTAATTAAAAACTCCCATTAATGTTACCAGGATGGGACATGTCTGATCCTCATTTCAGAGCCCAGCACATAAATGTTCCTCAAAATTCATATAATTTGAAGTTAGTGTGCTGGCCATACATGTCAGTGACAAAGACCTGTAACACTCAATCTCTAAAGGAGCCATTGCAGCTGCTAAATATGACAGGGTTGAGGCAGAGTCATGGCTGGAGCACAAGCAAATTGAGGCTCTCTGGGCTGCCCAGTGCTGGTACCATGGTGTCGTGCTCAACCTGCTACGAGACACTGACACAGTGGCCAAAAATGAGAGAAAGCAGAACATAACACAAACCAGCGTGCGGTTGCTCTGGTAGCTGAGGCTGAAATGACATAGGAAAAGATCCAAAACACACGGGCAGCTTGCTACCCCCTTCTCCTGGCCTGGCTGCAGTAAGATGTGTTTTGGTTAAACACAGCACAGGGGCTGTGAAGCGTGAAGTGGAGAAGCTGCAGTGGGAGGCCAGTCTCTGCCAGCCCAGCGCTAAGCACAGACCCACCAGCCAAGACACAGGCTTTCTGAGGGTCCAGCCAGGAAGGTTGTTCTGAAACATGCATTACAGCCTTAGTCAAGGATTTTTGAACTGTAAAAGCATTTCAAAAAAGGAAAATGTTGTTCCTGAGAGGCTTATAGCTCATTCCAGATGAAACAGCTTATGCCCCAAAACATAAATTCTTTCCACTTATTTTTAGGTATCTAAACAAGGAACAAAAGCTTGGAGCGCAGTGGGCCTACGATTTTATTCCCTTTCAGTGAATGGGTATGAATGTATCTGTAGATTAAGTTGAATATTATTGCTCAACAAAACATGCCTTAGAAATACCCTTGAAATTCCTCAGAATTACCTCTACAGCTACAATCGAGGTTATTCTGGGAATCTGTCATGTGCCTTTTATCCATTTGAACGATGTGATAAAAAGACTATCCTCGATGCAGAGTTAGCCATCAATAAGGTGAGTGACTCCAGACTAAAGACAAAGGAGAGTTGTTAATCCTTGCCAGCACCTCACACAAAGGGGAAAGACATGAGATGCAGTCAGGATTCTGCAGCTGGTCTGCAAGAGGCTGGTTTTTGCACACAGGCTCACGGATACAGAGACTTCTCTTACCTAGTTTCTCCACAGCTTCCACGCACACACTGGGATACATGCCCACTTTGTAAGAAGCAACCAGGATGAAAGTCTTTGTCTTCACAACTATAAAGCCTACATCTGGCTAGGTGAGATGGAAAATTGGTGTAAGGCTCTAAAAAAATACATAGGAATACATATTGCCTTACCATATGGGCTAATTACAGGCATTTTCTTTGCCAATACACCTGTTTTCTTGGGGAAAAACGGCAAATGCTGTCTTAAAGTCTAAGCTAGGACACAATGAAACAGTGACAGTAGTTCAGAAGAATTGTGACTATTAAAGTCAAATGCTTTATTATACTGCCTATTCTTACTTCCATTGTTTAATGTATTTTTGCACAGCATTTTGAAGACGTGTTATCAATGTCACATGCAAAAGCATTGATAAATGCAATAAAAGAGCTAGCATTTACATGAAAGCATGCCCAGTGTGTTACAGACCCTCTGCCTCACTCCTTTTTAACAGGGAATGGGAACAGACATTGCAAAGTACTCAATTTTTCTGAAACAGAATGCAAATCTGAGGGCTTCTCCACCTGTTTTGCAAGTTGCTTAGCTCACTCGAAGGAGATTATGACAAGCACTGCAGCTGGTGTTAGGGAAATGAATAGTGTTACCCTTTAAACTTTCATTATAAAGCTGACACTTCTTTGTATTCTGCACTGATCTCCTTCCACACCTGTGGGAAGGTGATACGGAGAGAAAGTAAGCAGCACATGAAGGCTTTCTGCTTGTCTTACGGTATTTCATGTAACCAGGCAGCGAGGGAAGTAGGAAATCTCCAGGTTTCTTAGGATGGCCACAGCTCTTGTCAACATACGTTTTGAAGACAGATGGAGTGCTCATCTGCACGGACACATTTATAGTACTTCTGCTTGAAGTCAAGTCCTCCCCTTCGAACTTGCAATAAGTTCACGTAGATAAGGCTTAAAGCATTCTCTGGTGGCACCTGTGTTAGTACAACACAGCGTTACAGACCAAAACCGTGTGTTTTTGCAATGATGAACTGCTTTCCGCCCTCCTCGTCTCTCATACTTCACTTAAAATTATGATGTAAAACTCATTTGAAACAATCTGCATAGTGTCTGATTACTTGACCTTTGAATGTCCCTCCAAACCTAACGCATTCTATGATTCTACGATGATTGATTCTGTGATTCTATGACTGACTGCGTAGTCCTGTTACCCCGTGACACCTCTCTGGGTAGGCAACACACCCCATGGTGACCAGAGCCTTCTGCTAAAGGCACTGTGGGGTAGGACACAGCCTTGCCTGGGCTTACACAGAGCTCACCCAAGGATGCCAATTTCAAATATTCTTAGTGTAACATTTAGCAATTCCAGGAGACAAGATCATCGTATCCCAGTGGAGCAGTGCACGCAAATCACAAATCTGTTCATGTCAATGAGGTCTTGGGCTCAGCGTATGTGTAACCGGGTCACGGGTTTGGCAGATTTATATTCAGCTGGTGGGATGAGATGATCCAATGATCCCTTCTGGCCTGAAATTCTTTCAAGTCAGTGGAGGTGGTGACAATTTACACTGGCTGAGGGCTTTGCTCTGGACCTCAGCATGTAATCTATCTTGCTGAAGAACCAGCAGGCTGGCATCTCTAAAACCTGTGGTTTATATTAAAGATCGTTTACATATTAAAGATGATGTCACTATCACTCAGTGGACTGATGACTCTCTTTGCTGAGAACCTGGCCCCAAGGATGGGGTTATCTTAGCAAGAGTTTCATCTCCTGAACACATTCTTCTGAGCATCCCAAGGGTAGCAATACATACCCCTGGAAAAACTGCCTGGAAATGTTTGAGAGCTGGTATCGTGGGGATTAGGAGAGCAAGTGGTACCTTCCAATGACATAAGAGTGACTGTGGTGTGGGGAGCACTTCTGAACTCCTAGAGAGTTCACGGGCTGGGTCAGGGAGTGCACATTAGCTTTGCCACGTAATATGATTGGAACAGAAGTGCTGTTATTCTGCTCTAAAAACAGGTAAAATACATTTATACTAGCAAACGCAAGGTGCCAGGGAGCAGTTCTGAATAATGTCACAACAGTCCAGTCCAGGGACAGTTTTGGCCCAGCCCTGCACTTTCCCAAACAATTCCCAGGACCGGTTTGCAAAATGAGAATGGCCCAGGACCACTCCCTCCAGGCAACCTGGTACAGCCCCTCTGCTTGGCGATATGGGGTGAGCATGGGTCATCCCACCCCAGCAGGGTCTGGAGAACAGACCTAGGAACATCTGCTTTACTGGTGGAATTGCTGAGCACAAAGCCGTTGAAAAGGACGCCTTTACAAATCCAGTTAAACGGCATCTTTCTTCCAAAGACTAAAGATGTGAAATCAGCAATCGTCTTCACAAGTGAGCCTCTCAACACAGCAGCTGGGCGATACCCTAACTTTGGCTCCGAGGTTGAAACAAGCAAGTGTATTTAGCCGAGTGCCATGTTCCCTGCTGTTATCACTACTTTGTGCTCTAGATTCCCAGAGCTTCTGCCTCCACTGTCACTTCCCAGGACATTTTTTGATCTCTTACATTAAAGCCAAAAGTTGATGCACAGACTTTTTTTTCTCGTATGTCGATGAGAGCTGCGTTCTCCACATGCTTGGTTCTGATCAGACTGTCGTTCAGCAAAGCCTGCAGTTGGTTCATTTTCCTTCTGGTTTATAAAAAGAAATAGAAGTATACGTGTTCATTCCTCTCCCCTTTTATATTGGACACCAGATCTTCCTCCAATTAGAATTTAGGAGCTCTTGCAGAAGTATTGCTAGGCCTTAGATAAGCAAAAGAACAAAATAAAAATCCTAAAACCAAGAGAGCAGCAGAATAGATCAAGTCATCTTTATCAGAAAGGCCAGTTATGTTTTTATATTGTAAGCATTTCTGCATTCTTTTTTTTTTCTGGCATTTTTCCTCTCACTGAGGAAATAATCCAGAGTGAAGACACTAAGAAATTATATAAAAGTTGCTACCACCAGCAGAGCAGAGCAGAAGTCAGGGGCTGGGGGTGGTTTCTGGGCCAGGCTCGACCCAAACTAAAAATTATTTTCTTTTTAAATTGTCAGCACTAACACAGTTGTTAGACCTCTGGGTCAGTGTGACACTACTGGGGAGCTGCTTGGGAATAAACCTTACATTTCTCTCCTGTGATGATATCTCTGGTTGTCTGCCTAAGCAGCAACAAGAGAAGTTAGGTGCTGATTAAATCTCCAGAGAATTGACAACAGGCATCTTGTTAGCTTCATCCTGGCCATCTACTAGGTGCTGGCAAAAAGGGAAGACCACAAGTTCTGTTCACATCATTGTGCTTGAATCGTAATTCACTAGTAGAGAATGAGTACTTTATTTCTAGAATACAGCCATATAGATCAGCTTTTAGTTTTGACTTTCATGAAGTCAGTAAACTAACTCTGGTTAAACCTCAAGGCTCTGTTGCTATGTAACCTATTTTACACGATGGTATCAGAAATGACATTAATGCTGCAATTCAGTAAAGCTATCGGACTCATCAGGCAGCAGCCTGTCATAGCAACATCAGGCTAGAGCATTTGTTGTTAAGTCCTGAGCAATCATGATGCACTTGAACTATAAACCGAGAAGGAACGAGAGGTGTTCTGCTTAGGGGTTCGTAGGCAGAAGCCAAGCAGCCCAAGCCTGGCATAAGGCCGCAGGGCTTGGAACCGTGCGGTCCGGCCTGGGCC